CCCGGCGCAGGTGGGGCGGCTTGGGCCGGGCCGGGGGCGGTCATCGCCCCCGCGGGGCTCGGCCGAGGGGCTGCCGGGCGATGGCAGCGACCGCCAGCACAACAACAACAATAACAACAAAAAGAAAGGAGGAAGCTCCGTCTTACAGCCTCACCTCTCCTCCTCCCCGGGAGCTCTCGGTGCCGGGAGCTGGCACGGAGAAACTGAAGCGAACTGGCGTGTGTGTAGTGGCGGTGGCGCTCAGGGTAATGATTACCGGCGTGCGGGTAATGATTACCGCTGCCTCTGCCCGTGTCGGTGCGGTCCCCCACCCTCTCGCACAGGCGTGAGGCTCTTTTCCTGTTTCGCCCGATGTATTTATTGTGGCAGCTCTGATGGAGCCACAGAGACAGAACCTGGTTTCAAAAGCCGTCGCCTTCCTGTCTAGCCAGGTGATTTTCCCGGTATTTAAAACAGAGGTGTGACAGAGAAAAGCGGTGTGACAGCTTCCCGCGTGTATTTGTGGCTGTAGAAGGCGTCTTCACCGAGTTGTTCGTGTCTTTCCCTAGGAAATGCTTCAAAAGCGGTGGTAACCTTAGTAAGGTGAACGGCCGCCTTGACTAAAATTGCGACTGGGCGTGAGCTACACAGCAATTCAGCAGAACTGAAGTTTGGTGAAACTGTTGCTGCTTCACTTGTCCATCCTACTTAGGAGCAGGTATGGACGTGGAATAAAACGTCACGGTGTGTGAGAAAACAGTTGTGAAGTGCTGAAATAGTACGGGTAATCTTTAAGTTGTGTTTTTGAGATGGGACTGTGCAAGCATTGCGTTCTGCACATGTGCAGACTTTGAGGCAGAATACTAATGATCGAGGAGTTGTAATTGTGTGTATTGTCATTGCTGCAGTACTTGGTGGAGATTGTTTTGGCTATCGGAATAGAAGTTAAGATGGTTTTGGTAATTACCTTTAGGGTCTTAATTTTCTACTGTTTCTTGTTTGCATGCTTGACTTATATATTGTTCTTTTTACCTCCTAAACGGTGTGTGTTGTTTTTCTTTTTTTTAAATCACTAATCATTATGATAGACTTCTGTTTATAAAATCAAGGGCTTAAAGTAGGTGGTGGTCAAATTAAATCACACTGATTTACAGCCATATTTCAGGCATATGTTGTATGGTGATCTTGATATAAACCTACTCTGGTTTTGGGGAAGATTTACATTATCTTATGAATTTATTATTACACTTCTGTGCATACATTTTAATTTTAGTAACACCCTTATCATCTTAATTCCCCTTGAAAGTTTTTGATTTCACTGTTTTGTTTTCTATGCAATTATTCTTTGCTCTAGATGAGTAAAATGGGAGATAATTTTACTAATTTGAAGCTGTATTCCTTTAATTTTAGGCTGTTTGCTGGCCATCAGCATTTCTGTAGATGTGGCAAGGCAAAGCATGTATATTAGGCAAAACTAATTTTATATGCAACCTTGTAATACACAAAGATGATTCCAGACAAAGCTCTCCTTGTGTCCACAGCCTTCCTTTGAGGAATACGGAGGGATCCTCAAAGAGGATGCTGTCTTCTTCCACGTCCCTCTATCTGCTCTTTCTAGAAACAATCCCTAGCGTTTTTTGTTTGTGGTGATGGCAAGGGAGGGTCCATGAGCAGCTCTGGTTGTGAGTAGCTGCTGTTCCTGGTGTAGTTTTTTCCTTTCCAGCGTGGCATATCTGTAAGGCAGGAGGTGCTGGGAGGGGCGTTCCTTTGTTATGTTGACACTTAAGTGCACTGACGGGTGTATTCTCCTCCAGGAATTTTGTGTGATTGAAGGGATTCCTTCAGACGAGGAATATTTTCTCTAGCTGTCTCCCTGCGCCGTTAGCCTATGCACAGAAATTAATTGCTCGGAAGATCACCGCTGTGCGCGTGCCTTTTAGGAAACCCTTGGATTGATTGTGACTTGGCTGTGGCTTTCTAGAAAAGCATGTTTCTGCTGGAGCAGCGTGTGTGTGGCAGTCCTGGCTTGTCACTGTGCGAGTCAGCAGCTGTGTCCAGCACCTGTGAAATAGGTGGATGTAGATGCTTGTGTGTGGGCACGGTGCTCATGCATGGTAATTGAATTAGGGCTGTCAAAGCATCTTCTGCATGTTTGAAATAAGGATCACATTCCATGATCCCTTCTTGACAAGGCTGAGGAAGCGCAGTAAATAACCAGGCTCTGTTTTGGGAAGGTTTAGTATGGTAGCAAGGAAATAAAACTGCCTTAAGAGACCTCAGTGGTTCCAAAATACCACAGTGGAGAATTTGGGTGGGTGCTAGGAAGAAGCCATGTCTCTCTAGGAGCAGATTCTCCTTCGTCTTTGAGGAAAGATGAAAGCTTCTGTGTGCAGGAGGGGAAGGCAGCGTTGTCCCTTCCCGTGTCCCACCACAGCCCCTGGGAAGGCTGTCCCTGGTGCCCAGCTTGCCCCTGCTATTGCCAGCAGATGGGTTTGGGGTATCTGTGCTGTTCCTGGGTGCAGGAAAAGCTGGTGCCATGTCCTCATGTCCAGCCCACCATACCCTCCCATTCAGTGTGGCCAGTGGCATTTCCCACCCAGAACGCTTCGAGGCTCATTGCTTGTGATTTCATTTTTCAGTGGATGCTCTTTTAATTGAAGTGAGGCTTGCTTTTTGCTCTGTTGTCATAATACCTTGTATTTATTTTTACTGCATGCAACTGCACCTCGGAGAAGATATTTCTGCCTCTTGCTTTTTGGTGGGTTTGTGTGTGTGTGTGTGTTAGAGGGCTGGGGAGGATACAGAACCAAAGATTAAAAAGCCAGTTACAACTGATGGTACAGATAAAAAGAACTCTCATTTTCGTGGAAACTGTACTGGCTGACATAGTCTAGTCTGTTTGATACAGTGGTCTTGCTGTCTTACAAAATGGACAGGGCTGAAATGTAACAGGTTGTTATAATAAGCAAGGTAATGTTTGCTGTATTAGCCATTGACCTTAATTCCCTTGTTTTTGCTGCATTGCTTTGCCTTGACTCTGTTGCGAAATACACATCACGTACTATTATAAGTCTGGGAGTTCTCCAACATCAAATTTGGTTCAATAAAGGCATTTTCAGGATATCCAGGTCTCTGGATGAAAAGGGAATTTTAATTACTGAGATTTTTTCCATCGTTAACCTCCAGGTAATATATCTTTTGTATAGAAATTATGGACAGTTTATAATTTCCTTAAAAAAAAAGTGAGTTTGTGCTGTGTGGTGATTTTAGACTGTTTTAAGATTGTCTCAGTTTAAGAGGTACTTTATCTTATTGCTCTACAAGAGAAATGAGAGACCAGAGCCCATCACATAATTGCAGACATGCTGACTGCTGTGAGGATGTATTAAGAGGCTGTGAATTGGTGTAGATAAATACTAGGATGCATGGTCAAAGAACTTTTTAAAACAATCTAACTTGCCTGTGTGTTTGGTTGTTTTAGTATTGTTTTACCATTAAGGTGTACATGTTGTTAAAAAAAGGTAAATACTTGAGTCTATTAGTTTGCTTTTTGCTTTCTCTACAGAAGCGTAGTCTGTTCTCAGAGTGGATGTGCATTAGATCCTGGTTTGCTCGCCTGACTCCCTTTCTGCCTCAACCAGTGCTGGAGAGCATTTTTTTTTTTTTTTTTTTTGCCACAGGAAAGTAGGTCCCCGATTTTTATTTACTGTTTTTGAGCCAAGTTGAAAGTTTGCTGCTGTGTGTTGGTGGTGGGGGGGTTTGCCGGGAGGAGCAGCCCTGGGACCGAGCTGTGCTCCAGCCCAGCTGCTGTCTTGTGAGACATGAGGCTGCCGCTCGCATTAAGTTGGTCGTAGCTTGCTCTCACCTTTGCTGTGCTAATAATCATCTTTTCGTGCTTTTGTGCCCAAGGACGCTTCATATTCTAAGTGTGCACAAGAGGTGCGGTGCGATCCAGCGGGCAGTATTTCCATGGAGCCCTGTTGATCCCGTAGATATTGTATCCGGTTCAGTGGACCTGCCTACCCTGTGGTCGGAGGCTTTTTGTTATGCATGCATCCTAATTGTTCTTGCTGTCGGCATTGTGCGCTGACTGAAGGGGCTGTGCACCAATGCAAATAGCCTTTCTAATACCTTCCGCATTTGCATTATAATGGCTGCATAAATGTTGCAGCACATCTCAATTCACTCGCTGCTTTGACTGCTCGGCTTTAAAATAGGTTCTTTCTGTAGCACAGATCTTGTTCGTGGTTGGTATCGCTTTGGAGAGGGTTTCTGAAGTGCATCCCTATTAAATAGTGAGGCTTGTTTGTGATGAGGTGCAATTTTAACTTAGCTATGTTCTAGTCTCCCACTCCTTTCAGCCCACAGGTTGATACATGCACTTGGAGGCAAAAAATTTTCAAGCTTTAGCAGTTTTTCACCAACTATTTCTAAACTCACTATATTTGGGGTTGCAAAACATGTTTGCTTGAGGTTTTGTTTTGCATTAATTCCAGAGATCCTATGGAGGTCTGTGAGAATATTTTCTACAAGAGGAATGTGAAACATTGTGTCACTGTTGTTTTGGTGCTGAAACATTTGTTGACTTATTGAAAGTGTCGATACAGGGATGTGACTGAAAGCAGACACGCTTTTTTGGGAGCTGGTGGCAGATTGCCATCACCTGTCTGTCAAAAGTTTGTTTTACGTAGTTGTTAAACGGAGCAGTGATTAGTATCACGTACTTGACTCTTAGTGATTAATAGATGCACAGAGACTTTTTAGTTTCATCAGAGAATGCAGTTTTTCTTCTGGCTATAGACTTGTTATTAATGCAATGTGTCAAATTTTGGGAATGGTAGTACATGAAACTATTATTACTATTTTTGGCTAATCTGTTTTAATCCTAGGGTTCACTCTGTTTTATGTGTTTTAGTGTATGAAGACTGCAGCAAGAAAGGTATGCTTAAATCAAATGTTAGGGTATTTTTAATGTATCTGATGTTAGTAACTTGTCACTCTTCCACTTGTTTGCACATATTAAAGAAGTACGAGTAATTCAGGTTAAGGATATGCAGAATGAGCTTGTTGTAAGAATTAAAATTACAGAAACATTTTTCTGAAACAGTAAGTGACAGTATTGTAGGAATCCTAAATTTACTTAGGGCTTCTATATGATGACTGATGATTCACTTATATATGAAGTATTCTGTGTAATGCTGCAAACAACATATGTGTTACTATAATACAGTACTTTTAACACTTATCCTGTCAAAAAATTGTGTCTATTAGAAGTTTAGAATAACTATAGTGATGGGCATGAAAATTAAAAGTTAAATAATGTTATGTGAAAGCATAAAAATAATCTTGAAACCCCAATACCTGTGAGCACTAAGCTGTAGTGTATCTATACTTTGTGTACCGATAGTTTGGATTTTAATTATCTATTAGATATTACAGATAATGTTGGTTTGGTACATCAAGAAATATGGCAAAACCACTTCAGGATTTGCAGTTGTATGTAGATCGGTATTTTCAGTCTCTCCATCCTAATAGGAATTAGCATTAAATCAGAAATGGAAGAGTTTCATGAGAGTTTGAATGGTCAGAACAATCCATTGGTCTGGCATGTTGTCTTGACTGGGAAGAAAAGTAAGTTTATTTATTACTTTTATGAAGAAATACCTGACTGGCAGCCAAAACAACCAGGGCCCGATATTTATTTGTAGCTGAGGTACA